AGCTGATAAAAACATCACAATAATCCACAGCACTCCAGTCCATCAGTTAACATCTGGAGAAGACAAAAGCTGAAACTAATCCAGCATTAAGACGCTTTTAACTAAAATACATAGAGTCCATAATCCATAATAACTCTTCCTCCAGTGAAAAAGTGTTCTGGTGTGAATCAGGAGAGAAATCTGCACAGATCAAGCAGCGTTTAAACAGATCTAAACACATATGTGGCTGGATTTTGATGTGAGAGACAACAGCAGATGCACTTGTTCACTGGAGGAAGAGTTATTATGGACTCGTGTTTTAGTTAAAAACGTCTTAATGCTGGATTAGTTTCTTACAAACACAGCTTTTGGCTTCACAAGATGTTAATTAAAAATTATACAATTGACAATATAAAGTCAACCGCCATAATCATAAAATAAACTGGCTGATCAGGACCTGATATACATTATATATATTTATTTCTGAAGCGCTTTATGCAGATAGTTTGGAAGCAGCTTCACAGTAATGAACATTAATGTTGTGATATTCAGCAGCTCTGAGAGGTGTAAAGCAGCCTGTGTGTCCAATCGTGTGTGTGTTGCTCCTCAGCTGGACGGAGCGGTGATGGTTTAGCGCAGCGGTCAGCCGCGGCCGAGCGTGGGATGTTACGCTGGATGGTGCACCTGGAGGGCGGCCCGCGGAGGGTCAACCACGCGGCGGTGGCGGTCGGACACAAGGTGTACTCGTTCGGAGGATACTGCTCCGGAGAAGACTACGAGACCCTGAGACAGATCGACGTGCACGTCTTCAACACCGGTTAGTTTGGTTAACCGCGCTGTAGCTCAGGGTTTGAATGCATGAACTGATCAGATGTGTGTGTGTGTGGTTCTCTCAGAGTCTCTGCGCTGGACGAAGCTGCCGCCGGTGCGCACCGGAGGACGGGAGCACGCTCGGGAGGTGCCCTACATGCGCTACGGACACACGGCGGTGCTGGTGGAGGAGGCGGTGCTGATCTGGGGCGGCCGGAACGACACCGAGGGCGCGTGTAACGTGCTGTACGCCTTTGATGTCAGTAGGTGTCCGCAGACAAACCACACGCTTCAGTGTAATGCTGCGGGCTAAAGCCGTTGGTTTAAGCTTTCTCTTCATTATTTTACACTTGTATTGTGCTGAAATGCTTGACCTAATTTGGGTTTACTGGTCAAAGATGGCCAGCCTACAAACACTGCGTGTAAATCTCTGGTCATGCTGGATTATCCCCAAATCTGGGATTCAGTCAGGCCTCATTGAGTTTATGCACCTCAGATTTTGAGTGAATATTGCCAAATATTATGCACAAATAATGCTTTTTTTCACTCAAAAGCTGAGCTCAGATCAATGAGGCCTACTATCAGTCAGTTCAAAAAAAGAAGCACAAAACCTGTGCTAAATGAAAGAAAACAAGTTAAACGATTGAATCCAGAATTTGGTACAACAGGAAATGTCACTCATTTGTGAGAAAGATCAGATTTGTGTGAAGTTGTTCTACCCTGTCCAATGCGACAACATTAACTAGTATTTTCAGAAAAATAAAATCCTCTCCGGGTCAGAATGACTGAAACACAACATGAGGGTTAAATTCATCTTGTCCAGGTTGTTGGATTATGGATTTACATCTAAACCATTTTTTAAATTTGGTCATAATCAGTGTTTTGTCAAATATATCATTTTTGTTAATAATTCTAGCACACTGAAGGCTCTTCGTCCCACTGCAAACATGATTTAATGTTCACACAAGAAATACAGCCTTTTCTCTGATCATCTGCAAACCGTTTGATCGGCATCAGTCAAACACCATCCAGTAATCACTGACGTCTGATGATGAAGAGAAATCCTCCTCCAGTGTCTGACGTGGATTTACAGTGATAAACATAGAGCCATGATGATCCATGTGTTACACCTCCAGACCATCAGCAGCTGGTTTGAGTGTGTGTGTGTGTGTGTGTGTGTGTGTGTGTGCGTGTGCGTGTGCGCGCGTCTGTGTGTGTGTGTCTGTGTCTGTCTGTGTGTGTGTGCGTGTGTGTGTGTCTGTGTGTGTGCGTGTGTCTGTGTGTGTCTGTGTGCGTGTGTGTGTGTGTGTGTGTCTGTGTGTGTCTGTCTGTGTGTCTGTGTCTGTGTGTGTGTGTGTGTGCGCGTCTGTGTGCTCAGAGTTTGATGCTGTCCATGAGGGAAAACGCACATTCCTGACTTGTCATTTATTCAGCACAGGGTGTGTGTGTTATCGGACGGTACAGGGATGCGTTGGAGGAGGCGGAGGTCTCCGGGACAGGGCAGGCAGGGGGAAACGAGGGGATCGGAGGCAGCGTTCACAGTGCCCTTCTTCAGAGGTAATGGAGCTTTACTGTACTCATCTTTGCGCTGCTCCTAACACTTTTAGGTGAAGGTGTGTGCTCTTTGTAGAGACTGTGCATGATTTGTAATATTCAGTGTGTTCTGTGTCTCTGTGTGTGTCTGTGTCTGTCTGTCTGTGTCTGTGTGTCTGTGTGTGTGTGTGCGTCTGTGTGTGCGTCTGTGTCTGTGTGTGTGTGTCTGTGTGTGTCTGTCTGTGTGTCTGTGTCTGTGTGTGTGTGT